CGCATTTTAAAGCATACGACTCTGAAGTTTGTCAACTAAGCCTGGAATTTTCAACGCATACTTTTTTGAGATGAGCAAAATAAAATTTGGTCATCATTGCCAACAATTTGCGAAAATGTACACCATTACATTATTTATAAGACTCAGAATTTTTTATACTCTTAAATATGCAAACAGAGATTTGAAATCCTCGAAAAAGTCAGACAAAACCAAAAGAAAAATTAAAATTTTGTCCCATTTATAAATATTATTGATTTTTTTTCATCATATTTTTGACTGCTTTTTAAAAAAAGTTATTTTTCTTTATAGTTTTATTTCTTAACTATTCCAATGGTCCAACTAACGTTTTTTCGTAATCACAATAAATAAATTATTATCATGGTCCAACAAACGCGCACCTTAAGCCGAAACCGGCATCGCCTTTCTGAGGGAGCCGGTAAAGATGCCGCTGCGTACATTCGTATCTGGTTTAGGTAATCTGTGCCATGGGTACAGCACGTCACGATGAGGACAGCGCCCCGTTTGCGACGTATAATCCATCGCATGTGTTCATCTCTTGCTAAGCGATATTGTCGTTGTCCTTGTTTTTCGCATCATAATAAAAGAGTAAACAACAGAGGCACACATTTACTGTGCCCTATGCCTATCTTGAACTTAATTTTGGAATTCTCGGAACGTCGCTCAACGCCCGGTCGTCCAGTGTCGTGCCAACGCGGTTTGCGCTGAATATTAGATAAAATAATAATAGGCATTGAGGAAAATATAAAATATGTAAGTTATTTTTTTTTGTTTATTATACTAGGGCACGTGTCCAAGTGCCCTTACGGGCGAACCGCCACTGGTTGTAGCGAGTAAAATACCCTCTATAATCTGAAACTATTTGGTATTGTTATTATGGGAAAAGCAAGAGCAATTCAAATATAAAATAAAATACATGGTGTTCCATTTAAAATACTTAACTTTGATATGTATCACTTTCTTGGAGACGCATGTACAATCAAAATAATTTTTAAATTGTTGACTTTTCTGAAATACATCTTGTTGTGGAAACCCATTTTAAAAAATCATATAGTTTTGGCTCTACAGACCGAAGCGTTACCGGTGGCCCACCCTGTATTATAAGACACTGTTTCCCAGCATGGGATGTAGCTTATAAATAGTATATTACATTACGAGTGTGGAAAGTGACATTTTTCACACGAGTGGGAAATATTGTCGCACGAGGCGTAAGCCGAGTGCGACTATCACACGAGTGTGGAAAATCACTTTTCACACAAGTGATGTACAATATTTTTCCTACGACCACAAAATAATTTCATCAAAAAATGTAAAACCAGATTATTATAATAATTAAAATGTATTTAAAAAAATAATCAACAATAATCGTATTGATTAAATTTTCATAATTTCTAAACAAATAAAAAAAAAATAAAAAAAAAATTCTGGCACAGCCAGGATTCGATCGCGGTCGTTGGACGGTCTCAAATTGTAAAGTTGATGCTCTAACCAACTGAGCTAACAGGCCTTACGGTAATTGATTGATCTAATCGCTTATGTGTTTAACCAGAATAAAAAGCAAATATATCTTAGTTATTTTAAAATTATTTTAAAAATAATTGTTAAAGATAAATATCTAGGATCTAATTTACAATAATTTAACAATCATATCGATTTTAGTATTAATATGGACATTACATAGATCAAAATAGAAATTATGTGTTTGACATTTTCTGACAGCTACTGCGGAAAGTAGCATATTCTCACTTGGGTGGAAAGTAAATTCTTATTCATACGCGTGTGATATAGGGCACTTTCCATAGGTCTATATAGTGTGATATGTGTCACTTTCCTAAGTGGTCGTAGGAAAATAACATTTTCCTACAACTACTTAGAAAAGTGACTCCTATCGTGTTATTTAGTTTTATAGGGAGTGCCCTATATCACACGCGTGTGGATAAATCTGCTTTCCACCCGTTTGTGAATATGAATCTATTTTCTGCATAAGTTGTAAAATATGTCAGACGTCTAATTTATATTTTGATTGATGTAATGTCCATTTTAGTAGTAAAATCGATTTGATGATTAAATTGTTAACATTAATATTTAAATATAATTTATAGATATTTCTTTTTGTAACAAATCATTAAAACAATTTTAATAACTACCTACATTATTTTTGCTTTTTACTGGTTCATATACATATTTAATTAGCTATGTCAAATGACATAACTGTAACAGCACATATCGTATGTGTCTAACTTTTTCAACTTGGCATTTCGCAAATATTTTGTGATGTTGGTTCAATTTCCGATGAATTATCTTTTTTTTTTTCTTTTGAAAAAAATATGAAAATTGGAAAAATACGATTATTTATTTATTTATTTAAAATACAAGTTATTTATCATAATATAACCACTTCAATTATTCTTTTCGCTATTTATTTTGTAGTCTTTTAATTATTGTTCAGAACAATATTGTGAGTAGACAAGTAGGTAATCATTAATAATAAAACAAGATTTTGTATACGGTTGTTCAACTTATTTGTTTAAAAGAAAATATATTAATAAAAAACATTAATGTATTCTAAAAATGTTTGTACCTTATGTTATTTTATTTTTATCATCCTATGAAACTGTAATAGATTAACAATATTTTTAATTTTGACAAAACACTATCTGTAAAAAATTAATCAATGAGGCATATAAAAAATAAATCTAAAAACATATCTTGATGGAACATTTAAATCCAGATTTACTAGTTTTTCCATTTTTTTGATAAAATTATTTTGTGGTCGTAGAAAAAATATTGTACATCACTTGTGTGAAAGTGATTTTTCACACTCGCGTGATTTTCGCACTCGGTTTATGCCTCGTGCCACAAAATTGTCCAAAATGTAATTTTAAAAGTAATATTCAAGGAAAATAAATTATTCTAACTGAAACTCTATATTAAGAAACTAGTATGCTAAATATCAGATTAATATACCGTTATTAATGTTTAATAAGAGTATTTCATGAACAAGAAACCTATACACAAATACAGCAAACCAAACTGGAGATACTCGGTCAAAGTTAAATTTAAATCATATTTCTGAATTTTGTAGCATAACAGCGGCCCAAAATTCATTTCTATGTGTAATGTTATTCCAAAAAAAAAAAAATAAAAAGGCAAATAAAATTCCCATACGGATCCAACTTTATGACACACACTATATAATTACCAAGACGTTGATTAGTGGTCATCTGATGAGCACTCTTGAATTTTGAAAGAATGAAATTAAAACTATTCAATTAAAATTTGTTTAATTACCTTAAATACCTACCAATTACTCCGTTTAAAATTTGTCAAAATGCTCCAACTATAAACCTGTTACAAATACAGAAGCCTGAAAGCCTCAAGAAATTCCACTTAGCATAGCATGGTCTTAATTCATTTAGTACATTTTTTTCATTATTTAATTCTTGAAATAAGTAAATTTTTATGTAAGTGTAATATAATTTGCAATAAATTTAATTGAATTAAAAAGAAAAAGGTGGCTGCTAACCATTTTTAAACGACATTATCACTCGCTATGACGCCCTGTACTTTTTCCTAATAGAACGTTGTCTACTCTGAAATATTTTCTAAACCGTTCTCGAATTGTTCGTTTAAAAGTAGAAACGTGTACCAATTTTATTGTAAAAAGCACCATGTGTGGCGTATTTACAGATAAACCGCTTAATCCATTCCTGCAACTCCCACGAGACACGTAACGAAAAAAGCACGTATATGTATAGAAAAAAAAATACAAAATACAATCTCTAAAACGTTTTTATTTATTCGATATCTGTTTCGGTCGTTCCAACTTTTCGGAAGAGAAAACTTCTATAGAAAATCTCTGCCGAATGTTCGCTGGAAATTGATCCACAAATGCTCCAATAATGGACGTGATAAGAATCAAAAATTGGGATCGTTTAAGAGGGATTGACGCGCGTTATTGTCTCCATTCTCTTTTCTGTTTCTTCCATGTTTGTTGGGGATATATATGTATAAACGGTTCGAGAGGATGTGGGATATTAAATTTTTGTATACGGAGTTCGGTGTACATTAAATCCCGGCTACAGGGTTTGATTCTTAAAATTTATAGCCCACTTTCAGTGTTTCGTGATGATACAAAACAAATAGAAATATATAAAAGTATAGAATATTCCAAATGTTTTTCTTTTCCATAATATCCTTTTGTGTCGAATTCTGTATGTTAAGAGCGATATCCAGGTTAGAAACATGCTCAAAACGACTTCAATGTTCCCTTTCTCAATTTTTTATTTTTTTTATTAAATTTGGTATACCTACTATGCAAATGATAGTAAACCCTGCTCTAGAGCCCGAATTCATAAAATTTAATTATTTCTATACAAATTAAGAAAATTATTGCAAAAAGGAATCTTTACCGGGAATTGTTATATAAAAAACAGCTAGATCTTTCCAATACACTTTTTTGCTCAAAGCGTGTATTTTTTGAAAACATTGAATTACGAAATCTGAGAAAATGTGTCAAGATTCAAATCCATATTAATTGATTTGGCAACAAGGCGGCGAACGTGGAAAATTAGGATAAAAGTACCTATTTAGTCGCTTAGGGTAAAATTATTAAAAAACTTCGTTTTCTTTTTAGTTCATCTCTAGGCGTTTTCGTTTCTTATTAAGTTAATGAACTTTTGTCTGTAAATTGAGTTATAATAGTTTATGGTAAAAATGAAAAAACTTCCGAAAATGCCAAAAATGATATTACCGTTTCGACAAAAATCTATTGTGCTAGATTACTTAGAAAAACAAACACTATCACCTCATAGTCCAATCCAGTCCAGTTCCTGCCCTGCAGAAAAGTCAAAATATATGGAAACTGCATATATTTAGTAAGGAATAGAAAAATAACCTTTAGCTTTAGAGCAATTTTCATAAATTGAAAGTGTAGGTCCAACAATGTGGTTTATTTATGTATTCTGAATATGGTTTTTTAGTCCCGATGGTGTAATAGGAACCGACAGTATTATCGAAATTAAATGTCCTGACACTGCTTCAAAACTGACTCCGGAAAAAGCAATAGTTAAAAAAATAATAAAATTTACAATTATTAATGACAATGGTCAAATTAAATCGAAATTATTATTACCAGGTTCAGGGGCAACTTCACGTAACTAAATGAAATATTTGTTTTTTATTATTTGGATACCTTCAGATATGTTAGTAGAAAAAATAAAAGAAGTTGATAGATTTTGGTGTACCGAAATGGAAGGTGACCTAAAGCAGTTTTATTTAGTTTGTATACTACCAGAGATCTTAAATCCATGTTTCAACTGATTGAATATATTTCATATCCATTTTCTAGTAAGAACCCTGCAATAAAATTAAATCCACCAATCAATTTATATTTTGGTCACCCGGCTGCTATTATTTTTTAAATTTTATGTTAGTGACAATTCTGTCAAACTAATTGTCGGTATATTTTTGAATTATTGAGATTAAATATACGTAAAAATGAGTTATTATTGTGTAGAATCGATGATTTCCATAAGCCTTGATTAGGGTTTACAAACTTGTTTGAGCAATTTATCCAATAATAATTACCTCTTAAAAATGGGGTAAGATAATTTTTTTTGTCTGCATGAATGCAATACTTAGGCACTATAGGAAGGGCCTCAGTAATTATATAAAACTAATTTAATTACAATTATTAAAACTAAAATGGTGTGGCGATGCTATCTCAGACAATTGAACACTCCACCTACGACGTCGTCCTCAAACTTCTATTCTACACACAGACTACAACACGTAAACGTATACTATTGCGTTAATTGAACGTATATATTTCATATCTATTTCTAGGTAGTGAGAACACAAAAAAAAATGAAATTCACCAATCACAGTTTATATTCTGGACACACAACTAATATTATTGTTAAAAGTTTAAATAAAAGTGACAATTCTGTCAAACTAAATGTCATTATATTTTTTAGGTATTGAGATTAAATATACATTAAATGAATAATTATTGTGTATTATTTGTGTAGAATCGATACATAATTTTAGTTTATTTTTATTTGGTCCACATTTGGAAAAAAAATTTAAATTTGAATCAAACTACCTATATGAAACTGATTTAATTACAACTATTAAAACTAAAATCCTAAATGTGAAGGTGGAGTAATACAGGGTATTTGTAAATAAGTAGACAGATTTTTGCGGATGCAAGTTATTTAAAAAATGTTTCTATAAAAGTAAGTCGAAATATGCTTCGTTTCCGAGATACAGAATGTTTAAATTTTAATTTATTTATTTTATTTTAAAGATATTTACCCGAAATTTGCAAATAAACTTTAATGGGATAAATGTGTATTTTTTTTGAGGTGTTTCGAATATTTCTACTTGCACCAGTGCGCCATTGACTTTTAATAAAATAACTTCGGCCACCACCCCCTTAAATCATTCATACTTACCCTGAATATAAAACTAAGAAAATGTAGAAATACTTTTTAGATACGTTTCCGAAATACCCAGTCACATATTTTAAAATATATTTCGTAAATAAATTATTTAGTAAGAAAAAAGAGTTGTTGAGTTAATTAAAGATTATATTTTTTATTTTCAATTATTAAATTTTTTATTTTTTTTTCAAAGCAATCGTTTAGTACTGCTATCAAAAACGAGTTGACCAACAAAACACTGTAGTTTCGAAAATGTTACATCACGTTATACATTTAAAAATTATTTTAAACGAGACCGGACCTGCGAAATATCGGCGTTGTAAATTTTTTAAATCATCTAAGTAATTAATTGAAGGGAGCGTAAGTCTGGGAATAGAGCAACGTTGCCAAAGTATTGTTACGGGCGAAAAGTACCATATTGAGCAATATATTTAAAACTTACAGTAGTTACCTTTTTTATGATTTCATCATATTTTCAATCATATAAATATTTAAATTTAATTAATTCCATACCTCAATGCGATTCAAGAGTAAAAAAATTAATGAACTTTATTTAATAAAATATATTTGTATAACTATAAATTTTATATGCTATTTTTCGTGAAGAATCTATTTCAAAAATAAAAGAAAATAATAATTCAAAATATTCAAATATTGTAAACAAACAAATATACCCTTGTCTAAGAATTGTCATATTCTTCCTTGTCTCTTCTTTTAATTTCTAATTTGTCATTAATTCTTAAAACAGTAATTTCTCTTAAATCAATTAAAAGAAGAAAACAGGATACCAACTAAAACAATTAATTTATTCCCAAAACTATGCGGCAAATATTAGCAAAAAAAAGTGATTCTTGCTTTTTTGCATTAAGCACATTTTCTGAGAAAGAAGCGTGCCCGCATTTTGCGGATTTTCTTCGAAGAACCTCATATTTAGTGAACTAAAAGATTTTGTGTTAATATTAAACAATAATCTCAACATTGTGTATAAAAGTTCCGAATATTTAGAGTTTTTCAACTTTTTTTATATTAACTTACTTCAATTGAACCCCCTTTGTGGCCACCCATCATCCAAGGTGAGGTTTTAAGGAATAACCCTATAAAAAAGAAGAATTAAATTAATCTTTTCATCGTCCTAATTTTGGCAGTAGGTATATTTTTAGGCCTCTTATGCAGACTTTCACTTTTACTCTTATGCTGATTTTCAATCTCATTTCCTTTTAAGTTTCAATCTGAAGTTTAATTTTCAATTTTACTATATTTAGTCTGGAACCCGGAGGTTCCTAGACACCGAATTACTTAAAGACACCAAACAAAGATAGTGGAGGAACCCAACCGTCCATCTCTATGAGTTTGAAACAACTGGATACTCAATTCATGGTTAAAATCCAGAAGACCTGGAAAAACAGTTAAGAATAATATTTAAATACTTACTTTATTTATACCATTTGTGTTTTCACCCGATTGGTGACGTTCATATTCTATTTGCTTTGATTTATTGTACCAATTAATCTAATTTTATTAATATTATTTATTGACTATTTCTTTCTAGAAATAAACTACATCGTAGCGTAGGTTGTTACAGCAATTAGTAAACTTAATTCATTGCTTTACATGGGTACCAAAGAGAAGCTCTTCAAGCCTTTAAATCTTATCTTCGATTTGTGATTGCTTTTCAAACTACCTAAAATCATTTATATTTATATAAAATAATAATTAATTTATATAATTACTCACCTGTTTATAATCCAGTTGTGCTTATTTATTTGAAACCATAAAATATATATCTACTCTTATCACTAACAGAAATATTTTTGTTTTCTTAAAAGAACCCGAATCTGTTATAAAATCAACCAAAAACTGATTTTAATTCAGTACAGTGTTATCAAATGCACTGAAAGTTGTTGTCAGTGCGTCCTCAACCTGAATTTGCTGTTAGGTGCCGCATGGATATCGCTCTTAAAACAATTTTAGCAAGCAAAAGTACACAGTAAAACACCCTGTTTATGTTGTTAAATCATTTTGAAAATGGGTGTTCTGTAAGAGCTACATATCGTAGAATTCCTTATTACCTTGTATTAGCTAAGGGGTAATAGAAATTCACTTTACAAAAATAAACTTTATTAATCAATAATGGTTGAACAACCACTCATGAATGAATCCATGCCGGTCTATATTTCCCTTCTTCATTGTTAAAAGTGCGTCTGTCCACTCATCGAAATATTAGCAGAATATCTTGTGTCAGCGAAAGACGCACCGCACCCAAAAATACTACAGGGAGTGTCTAGCAAATGTGTATGCAAAAAGTACTAGAAGCTAACATTTGGTGTACAAAATTGTCCTTCAGAAAAAATGAGTTCTTGCGACTTAAAAGCACCAAACAATTTAGTATAATTTTTCTTCCATCACTTTAAAATAATTTTGAGAATATAGCCTGGTTTAAATTATTTTTGGTTTAAGATAGTTTAAGTTTAAACTCGGGTAGAATGTCGCCAATCAACATATTCAATCTTGAAGACCAGCCAACTGTTGTAATAGCCCAGTCTGTTCTATTTTTTCATTATAGAAGTTAGTAACTAAGTGAATTACAAGTTGGGTAACACGATACAATGTGAAACATTATCCATTTTCGGTGGCAGGACATAAACTCACAGCCATGATATATAAGACTCTCTCTGTGTGTTTACGCCGAACAAACAAGAGTGGTAACTGGTAAGTAGTCGTAACAAATATCGGATTTAAAGAGATAATAAAGACAACGGACCCGTAGACGTGGCCAACAAACAAGTTGATTACGGCGTGATAAACGTAATGGTATCTGGTCGTCCCATCGGAAGCTCGTTCAACATAAATAAAAGTTTTATGATTTAGAAACATTTTGCTCGCTTGTCTATTCCGCAGTTAATAAAATATAATACTGTTACGTCAACTACACATGTTACAATAGTTAACTACTACTAACTGCTTGATTAAATTTTATTTATTAGAGATTAAGAAAACCGTATTTTATGTCAGATAAATAAGTTCTTCTTAGTTACGCGGGTACGCTGCGCCATTCACATATTTATAATAAATAAAATATTTCAACAACTACTTTATTTTTACAAATAATCTGCCTTAATTCTAATGTACTTGTTCTAGCAATGCTCCAATATTTCAAGAGCGTCGTGGAAGAAATGTTCTCCAACTTCTTCACATATTAATTTACGATTGGCATAACACCATTGTCACTTAAAAATTCTTCCTCGCAAATATTATTTTAGTTTCGAGAACAGTTTGGAGTCGGTAAGGCTCAAATCACGAAAAGAGTGGATCTCTAACCCGCTTGATGAATAACAGCAACTGCAAGTGATTCCAGTATTAGATGTGATAATTTTGACGACTGACAGACAAAAATGTAAAACCTTCTTTGCAGCTGCTGTAAACAGTCTTTACTGCTGCAAATCCCAATTTTTCTTTGGTAGATTTAATCTCAAAGCAACCAGACGTCAATTTTTTATTTAAACCATCGTTGTACATAAACTTTAAATGAAAGTTCATTCTTAAACCTAAAAATGTTACGTTGGTATGATATTCTATCAAATCCAATTTTAAATTTGCTAATTTTTTTTATTAACTGGTATTGTGTTGAAAAGATGACCTCAAGCATTCAGAAAATTTGCTTGAATCTTTAGTATGCTATAAGAGTGTTTTGTCGTCAGCAAATAGTGCCAAGTGGGCTAAAATATCAAGTAATGTTAAATCATTTGCATAAATAAAAAACAACAACCGTCCAGGAACTGATCCTTGAGAAACACGTCACTTTACAATCCTTAAATATGAATCTGTAGCCGTGCTAATAAACTGTTAGCGAACATGTAAAATTCCATCCACTTCAGAGCAATATCTTTAATACCATAACGACAAAACTTCTGTAGCAACAATATTAGTCTATGTTCAAAAAGATATCCAGAGTAGATCTGAATAGGTTGAGATAGGGGACGCTACATACCCCGCAGTCCTAATTGTTTTTCTAACTAATTTAATTTTCAGACATATTTGTAAATTGTGTTTAAATTTTTCTTTCATCTAAAGTAATTACTAAACCTATAGTTCTATTTAATGTTTTTTTACTATATTAGGAAAAATTTGGCTGTCCAACGTTTAACATCTATTTAGCTACCCCACATATTCGAAATGCATTTCGCTTCCAAGGTTTCGCGTTGACAATCCTTTTGAAAATCCGGACTCCTATTTGAACAACTAACGAGCCAAATTCAACACGAACTCGTTTCCCTATTTTAACTTAACTGCCGTGCAATTAACTAGTAAATTAAACAAAACTCCAAAACTTTCGTGCAGGTCTATTTTATACACGGCTTTAGATAATTCTATTTGGATGCGTGGTCAACCAGGACGAGATTTGCGTTTAATTCTAGCACTTCAGTTTAAATTTAGCGGAAAACGAGGAAATTTTGGAAAATTCTTGACGACAGTGGTCTTCGCCGGTTTCTATTTTGAATGTGTAATAATCGAAATTTGAATACTGCTTCATTAATTAAAGTAGGTTAGGTTACTACCACATCCAAACAAATCTTTAAAAAAAAGTATTCCATTTCATCGTAATTTAGAGAGTAACCGAGTTATTTGGAATTTGTGTATAGATAATGTGCATGTGAGAATAAAAAAATGTATTTTTCTACGATCACTGTTCAAAGTAGGCTTTTGCACATTGAAATCTAACTGGAAACTTGAAGTTTTCCATGAATTGTCATTATTTGACATTATTGCCGCATATAGGCGGAAAGTTACTTTTTGCACACGCCTATTTTCATTAGAAAAGTTGTTGTTATAAAGCTAATCGGTATTTTAAAAGAAAATTTAAAATAATCTGAATCTTTTAGTTAAACATTTAATACTCAAACTCATTTTCCTTAATATTTAAATAATAATTAAAATATTTAAAATAAATTACCCTGTTCTTAAAACTCATATTTAACATATCTTGTTGGTGTAGAGCCTAGCGCGTTTGTCTTTAAACCTGATGGTCGTGAGTTCAATCTTCACCAGTAATTATTTTTTTTTAAATATGATTTTTGTTTTTAAAATTAAATAAAACTGATATTTTTTATGCTTATTATAAAATTATTCCTAGAGTAAGTAGGCAACATAATATACACAACATACTTTTCGTTTGCTAGTCAAGTTAGCCGTGTCTGTCAATTTAACGAAGTAAGATTTGAATTCGGCAAAATAAAACTATATACTTTTAATATCATATGATCGTAAAAAATCTTGTGTGTAATGCAGAAAGCTTTTTGCCGCTTATGATAAAATGCCGCACTCCGCTGCACGTCGCGTGGCAACTTTTTATCTTAAGCCACAAAGTAGCACTTTCCGGTCTCAATACACAAATAGCTATTTTCTACGATCACTATCCAATTAGGCTTTTGCGCTTCGAAATACAACGGCAAAGTTGACTTTTCCGCGAACTGACATTAGTTGAGAGCTTTGTCGCTCGCCGAGTAGAAAACTTGACAGCTTTGTTGCTCGCCTAATTTGAATTAGATATGACATATTTCTTTTTAATAAATGATTTTAAATTTATTTGTACGTAGTTTAATTATTCAAGTTAATATTTACTTTGAATGTCAACTCCGTTTTTCATGATTAACTTTGATATAGGCAACATATTATACACTACCTACGACAAATTTTCAGTTTATATATTGTCACGAAGCCGTGTTTTTGTACGTTTCGTCTTTGAGGAAATAACACAAAATGTAAAAAATATATAATTTATTCGAAATCAACCACATCTTAATAATTTTACAATATGTTAATAATATTTTGGTACACTTACCACATCATTTCGTAGGCTCTGGGCACGTCACACTCTTCCCAAAAACACAATGGAAACTTTGTCGTTTTATTATGCAAAATAGCTATTACTTTTATTAATTTTACAGTTACCTTAGTTTCTTTTCGAGTCCACTTTCTTCCCTGTGGAGTTTACAACTGATCTACTTGTTTAATTTCCATACCCAATTTTTTGAATATTGCCGGCTTGCACAATTTTCATAGTTTACCAAACTTACGTTGGTTGATGACCTGGCATTATTTTTTCATCATTATAATAATCAAGCAATATAATTTTGTTAAGTAATTATTTCCTACGTATATTATCAACTCGGCAGTATTTTGTAATTGTTTTTAAATTTGTTTAATTAGGTATGTTTTGACTAAATAAAAGGCTTAATTAAAAATAAAATGATTTTGTTTGATTTACTTTAATTTACTTTAAAAACTAAGAAAAATTATTATCTACTAGGCAAAGTATTACTATTCACTCTTAATACACAATAGCTCTTTTTTAAGTCAAATTCTTAAATAAATAAAACAAATTGCATACTAATAAAAATATAAATTTAAAAAAAAGCAATGGATGAAAGTAACAAAAATATTTAAACAAAATTCGATAGAAATAAAAAAAATAAAATAAAACCTGTTGAAGCTTGTAACGGTTGGACGCTCATGTGCCTTCTTAGGCAACAGTGTCCGATAAGAAGACCTACTAATATTAGCCTAACGATTTGTCGTTATTGATCCAGTAGGTCATTGTAAAGTTTGCTGACGGTTCCTTAATGAACTAGGCATTCCAACGTCTTTTAAAAATAGCTGCCGAAGGGTATATATTCGTTTTAAAACCAAATTTCATCCTTTAAATATAGTTCATAAATAATTACCAATATTTTTACTTTAAATCATGGGTGTTTTGAAAACCATTTAATGAATCTATGTACCTATATATGGCAAAGTCCTTGGACAAACATTCACATTTATTCATATAGATTTTTAAGTTTATTTTTTTTGGTGGCATTTTTTTCAGTTCGAGATTGACTGCCCTCTAATGATCGATTGGTTATATAGTTAAAATAATTTCTCCTATATTTTTGCATAAGAACTAATCTCTTGTAGTAATTTGATCCAAACAATAAAATTGATCTGGGCTGAATGTTTTTAGATTTCTTAAATACTTTCTGGTTCCTTTTCGATATACTTTTTCTGTACATTGAGACTTAAACGCAATACAAAGAGGTATACCACTTGGAGTACAATCATTTCGAATTAAATTCACACTATTAACTGAAACCCATTCATTTATGACGGATATACATGAACAAGACCATGGATTAAAATTTAAACTTAAAAAGTCAGAATGCAGTTTCGTTAGCAGTGCTCGAGGCAGAAAATTTAAATGATTAAAATCTAGGAACAAGTAGTCTATACGAATTGGGGTTGTAAAACTATTTGCGTTTAAAAGGGCTATTTGATTGTTTCTCAAATCAAGCCATGAAAGAGTATTTAATGGCTCAAATGCTTCTGGTTCGATATTTGTAATATTATTATTGTTCAAATATATATTTTTCAAATTAGGAAAATTGGAAAATGCCCTTCTTGATATAATTTTTAAATGATTATATGCGAAATTAATTTCTTCTAGATTGTTTAGTCTCCCAAGCCAGTTCTGGTTCCAACTAGCTAAATAATTGTTATTGAGATTGATTCTACGTAGCTGAGGAATATACAGAGCCAGTTCTTCAATGTAAGAGATTCTGTTAGCGTCTAACCAGATGGTTTCTATGTTCGGAATGGTATTAATAGCACCTAAAAAGAATAAAACGTATTTCATATTTTTTTAAAATTTCGGTTGATTCAATATACTCTACTAAATTTACTGCTACAGAACTATTTAATTGAACGCGCTTAATTTCTAGAGTATGGTTTGTTTAGATCACTCTCCAGGTGTACCACAAAGATCCAACTTAGGGCCATTAGTATTCTTTATATTTATTAATGATCATTTATTTTGAAATGTTTACATTTTTTTGCCGAAGACTTAAAACTGTAGGTAAAATTTGAAGAAGTTGTACTTCGAAACAATTGTCGTGTAATTTTTAATTTTAATTTTTTAAATAAATCTACCATGCTTGGTTTTTCTTATTTTACTAATATAAATTTTCATCAAGTAAAGGCCGAGACTATCATGTCTTTAAAATTAATATTTCCAAATGTAAGTTGTTTCTTTTTCTAATCAAAATTGTCTTTATTTATTCGATTACTCTAAGTGTTAAGTGTTAAATTTGACTTTAAATTTACTTTTGGGGAACATATTGAAAATATAACGCTACTAGGTCTAAGAAATTGGTCTATTGCTATTTCTATTACTAATGTTGAAACTTTAAAATTAAATTGCATTTATTATATTTGATTATAGAAATTGTTCATCAAATTTTTTTTTAAATATGTTTATTTTAAATCGTCTGGACATTATTTTACCAGAGTTCAATTGATCAAGGCCGAGTGAAGAGTGATTCTTCTGTTCCATGATGTGCTTTGACAATTTCGGTGTAAACAATACATCGCTTAAGGTACTATTTAAACGAGGAACCACAATTTTCGAAAGTTAATTGCCTTCTACTTAATTTGTAAAGTTAGAGTTTCCTCTTCTTTTTTGATGAATCTGCACAATATTGGTTCTGCTGAATTGACGATACTCATGTACCTTCTTAGGCGACAATGTCCGGTGAGAAGACTTACTGTTATCCTAACGATTTATCGTTTTTTATCCAGTAGGTCTTCCGTGAACTTATCCAATGGTTCCTTCTCTTTGGCCTGTCTCAATCTTGGACAGTTGTTCCATTATTCTGCATCCGTTGTCTGCATAATGGTTTAGCAACTCTACGGAAGAATTGGGGCCATGGTATGGCCTCATACGAGTCTTATCGGGCTAGTTCGTAGGCATCTTCATTGTACTGATATCCTTCGTGGCCTGGTCACTTTGTTCTAGGCAGTCTTTCATTAGTCGTGATTTAATTTATGTTAAGAGAATTGCCTTTAGAGCGGCTTGGCTATCGCTATCAGAGTAGATGGCAATAGGTAATCGACTTGTGTCCAAAAATTTTAGTGCCGGCTCTTTCTTTGATTTTTGGACGACATCTATATGCCAAACAAGTTCAGTGTACAAAAGAACTCCCTGTTTCCAAGATTCTTGGGCTGGTATTTGAATTTTCAGATTTATATTAGTATGTGGCTATATTAGTAGGCATTCCATGAATATTATCTTTTTTTTACTTGTTGGTATAGCCTTGTATGTTCAACGCTATGTAGTTGGCTTTTTAGATTTTGTCCCTGTGAATGATGGACCTGGTTTCTACTAGTATTAAGATGTGCAGTGGCGTGGGGTTTAATAGTGTCTTAATTGCTACAGCACTGCAGACAGGCAATTCGCTGAATGCCTGTAAGTTGGCATATTGCACTTGCCTACGCAGTTTTGCTTACCCACGCCACTAAGCTATAACTTATCACATATACCTTATCACCCTTGTGTATAACGATATAAAGAGGAAGTGAGTAAAGAGCATATAAAAGAAAAGTAAGAAGAACATAATTAACCAATTAAATCAAAAACGAATATCCTCATAAAAAGTATAAGTCTGCTTGAACTAATAAATCAAGAGACTGCTAGATGTTGGTACTATGTGTCAATGAAAAGAAAGGAGGAAATAAAATTACAAATGGAATAGTATAAAAAGAGTTAACAACAAACTAATTAACTACTAAAAGTAAATAAAGGAACTATTTATTTGATGTTATGAATAGGTAAATAAAAAAATACTTCTCTGATGTATCACTTGTCGCTTTCAGGTAAATTTGTTGTAAAGTTTCAAGTAACGTTTTTTAATTTATAGTTGTAGGCGCTTGACGGACTTTGTCTAACAAGGATCAAAATAATTGTAAAATCCGAGTCAATAATCCCTTCTATGAGAAAATTTTCCTGACTATAAAGAGAACACGAAAAGTGATGGTGTAATAAAAACAAACATACCTTTAAATAAACTTGAAAAGTTATTGCCTCGTATCGCCAGGGTATGCAATTGAGGTAAATTTCTAAAGGCCCCTGGTAAAATACTCTGAATACCACTGTTAGATATGCCAATATTATACAGTTCTTCATGTTTCTCAATAAAATGTGCAGGAATAGTTGAAATGTTCTCATTTTCTATTATTATGGTTCGTATACCTTTATGGTCAAAATTTTCAGGAACTAAACAATCATTAAATGATTGAATTAAATTGTGTTGAAGACGATCGCCATATTTTACTGAAAAACGAGCTAAATTACAGTTTTCAGCAGCTGATACTACAACGATTAATACAGTTAAATAATTATAAAGTATAGCTTTCATTTTAATCAAATATATTACTATTTACTGGTTAATTTAAATTTTACATTTAGTTGAAATGCGAAATAATAAGAGGCAATCGGAGTCAATAGTTTATCGCATTGTAGATACTGATATAAAATTAACTTTCTATTTTTTTTTTCTTCAGTGTTGGTTCCTCTAGTTTTTTTAGTAGGCTCTTACTTTATTATTTACTTTTCAATAAATATGTATTTTCGGTTTATCGCCCTTCTAATTATTTACTTATATTGTAGAAAGAATATTCACCCAACTGAATATATATATATATATATATATATATATATATATATATATATATATATATATATATATATATATATATATATATATATATATATATGTCAGGGTAAAATTGTAGGGTCCGATTACAATTAGAAGAACACCGCTACGTCATAACCATTATTTGGAATTTCGAATACATATCTATAACTATCCATAAATAAAAAATAAGTTGTTAGGTATAAAACAATTTTTTCTATATTTCTATAATATTAACACTCCACTTAACCCACAGTACTTTGCCAAATGGTGACGTAGCTGTGTTCTTCTAATTGTAATCTGACCCTATTAATGTCCATGGAGCTATCATAATATACTAATATTTATTTACAAAACAATAAAAAAATTACAATTGGAGTATACAGTTGTCGACTGTACTATGCAGTCTCATTTTGACAATCCACAGTTTCTTATGGAGTAAAAGAGTTACGCGACAACGTGCCGTAAGGTGGCTGCAGCTCCCATCGTTAATTGGAGTCTATAAGAAACTGTAGATATACCAAAGTATGACTGCATTGTGTAGTCGACAGCAACTTCAATTTTAGATCAAATTTTTATAGGAAAAAATAAGGACCAATAACGTCACCAGACCAAAAACCACACCACACAGTCACATTTACTGGATACAGTCGTGTTTCCAATATTTCTCTTGGATTTTCTTCACCCGATGTTCTGCTTCATAAAACTCTCAATAACTTTAACAGATGGTACTAAATTTTTTCCGAAATGCGTACGGCATCTTCTTGCAGTTTCAGCAAAACATTTCCCATTTTGGTCATAAGTTTTCACAATAGAAATACTGTCAATGAAGATTACCAAAAATGGCGTTCAATTTAAATCGGAATGTCAAATTTGGACACCCTATATTTCTAATTTAATAAGTTGCTGTTAAAAACTATATAATAACCATATCATTTCGCACATTTTAAAACAACCTATTTAGTTATAATTTTCTTATAAATTAATGTTGTTACAACAAAAATGTTCTATTCGTCTTTACATTATTAAAACTTGTATTACTGTTAAAAAACATTTAAAAAAAGTAATTTAATGTGTAGTTACTTGGGTTTATTATTTTTTCTAAACTATTAAACATCATGCACACAATTGATCTTGGCTTAAAGTTTTACGATATTTTATATATTTCTGAGTACCCCTCGGATATATTTCTTCTGTACATCTGGACTTGAATGCAATACAAATAGGTAAGGTTTTCGGAGCACAACCAAATCGGGTTATAGTGATATTATTTAATAAAATCCCTTTATTTAAGGCGGAATAACAGGAACAAGTCCATGGATTAAAATCTAAACTTAAATTGTCGGAATGTAGTTTTCTTAGCAATGCTAGTGGTAAAAAATTCAGATTATTTTGTTCGATGAAAAAGTAATCTATACGAATTGGATTTGAAAAACTATTAGCATTTAAAAGTGCTATTTGGTTGCGTCTCAGGTCCAACCATGTAAGATTATTAAACGGCTCAAATGCTTCTGGTTCAATGCTTGCAATTTTGTTATTATTCAAATGGATGTATTTTAATTTAGGAAAATTGGAAAAAGCTCTTCTTCGTATTGTTCTTACGTTGTTTAGTGCGAATTCAATTTCTTCAAGATTATCCAGTTTTCCAAACCACTCCTGATTCCAATTGTCCAATGAATTGTTACTGAGGCTGATCCAACGCAGTTGAGGAATATGGAGAGCCTGCTCTTCAATGTAGGAGATTTCATCAGATTCTAGCCAGATGCTTTTGGTGTTAGGAATTGTATTGATAGCACCTAAAAAAATTGTTTTGCTACTATATCCACACAATTTAAATTTAACTAGGAAGTTGATGTTTTCATCGATTTGTCCTAATTTGACATTATTGGCAGTCTAGAGCGCCAAAGTTACTTTGGCGATTTTCTATTTTTATTTGCAACAATTAAAAGAAAATGGTATTCATTATTAAAGCTAATCGTTATTTGTCATAATTTGACATTATTGGCAGTCTAGAGCGCCAAAGTTACTTTGGCGATTGCTTATTTTTATTTGCAGTAAATAAAAGAAAATGGTATTTATTATTAAAGCTAATCATTATGTTGAAACAAAATGCAGACTAATCCGAATATTTTAGTTAAAAATTTAATACAACAAAATAAATAATTTAAAGCCAATATAACATAATTACGAGCGACCGTTTCCCTTCAGAAAACAGCTACTCTTTTGGTTAATACCGCAACAGGTATTGAATTATATCTAAAGAGAAAACAGCACAGTTAGAAATTAAATTTCAACACTCTACCTTTGATTTTGCTCACTAAGGAGAACATTGATTTATTTTTTGTTCTAAAAATTTAATATACAAACCCATTCCCCTTAAAATTTAAACGATAATAATAATTGAAATATTAAAAATAGATTACCCCGTAGAGTACCCTGTAAACTTGAGATATCTCGTTTGTGCAGAGAGCAGCAGTAAGTTTTCTAGTATTTAGGTCGTAAATTCAATCCTCACAGGGGAAAGAATATTTATAATTGTTTGTAGAATTAAAAATAAAACAGTGTGTCAATAATTTGCGAGAGGGTGTTCATATTTCAGAAGGGTTGCAATAGGTGGTAATATTTTCATACTATAAATGTTTCAGGATCTTTCCCAAAAGTATAAATTAACGCTAAAATCGAATTTATTCTATACATATGGATCGCACTGTATATAAATATAAAAAAAGTTAAAAGTTAAAAGTTTAAAAAGGAAGTCCAAGCAAAAGTTAAACGATTTTAAAAATAAAAACAAAGTGGTGGAGCAAAATTTTGGAAACTTCAAAATATTTGAATAACTTATTTAATTAAAATGAAACTCGGTACACCTGGTGCATTCGCAGCACTGGGTAATCTATTCTTGAATCTCAGGGAGTAGAAATTTTGAGGGAAGAATGAGACAAAAATACGAATTTTGTGCGTTGCAGATAGAGAGCAAAAACTTAAAAATTGTAAGTCAGTAAGGCCTAGGGTTCAAACCTGTCCATTTTTGAAAGGGACAGTCTTTTTTTGAAAAGGACAGTCCTTTTTTTGTTTTTTTTTTGTTTTTTTTTTTAGAAGTAGAAGGATGTGGACCTTTTATATACCGGATCAGCATCATAGTCCTTTATTCACTTTTCAAGAAAATGGCAACCTTAGTAAGGCCTAAATTCGATATTTATTATTGGAAAAATTACAATTTTGTTTTTAAATGCCTCACTTTTTCAAATGATTAAGATATACAGCGTTATGCGTGTAAACAATAAAAATGCACCTTCCCTCTTGTCTTTATAATTATTTTTCTATAAAAATTTCCTTATGTAAAGCAACCTAATACACATAAACAAATTGCTCCTAGGGCGCCCTCTGCAGTCTACATCGGACCTATGATCAAATCTCGATTTCTCATATTAAAAGCCCCAAATATCAAATTTAAAGATAAATATTTAAAAAAAGTAAAAACAAAGTAATAACTTTGACCCTTTGTATTTTGGAAACTTTTGAACTAAGGTAAATTGACCTAGATCCTCATATTTTAGCCTAAAGATTTTGTGTACATACCTTGCAAGGAATTTAAAAATAAAATAATAAAATTTAGCTAGTTTTACTTTAAAACTACAAAATAATTTGATATTTAATGAAATTTGCAATTGTTTAAATGATATTATAATAGAAACATACCTTTTAATATACTTGAAAAGTTATTGCCTCTTATTGCCAGATAATGCAATTTAGGTAAATTTCTAAACGCCCCTGGTAAAATCCTCTGAATGCCACTGTAATATATACCAATATCAGTCAGCTCTTCATTATTCTCAATAAAATGTGCTGGAATCGTTGGAATGTTCTCACTTTCTATTGATAGAGCTCGTATTTTTTTGGAGTTAAAATTTGCAGGAATTAAACAATCGTTAAATGATTGGACTATATTGGATTCAAATTCATGCGAATATGTTATTGAAAAACTTGTTAAATTACAGATTTCGGCTGATACTATAACAAATGATAATAATAAAAAATAATTATAAAGCAATGTGTTCATCTTAAACAGAATTCTGAATATTATTTTGGTACATTTAAATTGATTTAAAATTCCAAATCACGGAGTCAATAGTTTATCGTGCTATACTGATAAAATATTTAATTTTCTTGAACTATACTAATTTATTCCAGTGGTGGATAGTGGGTGCACATTCCTAAAATCTTTAAAATATTTAATTGGAAAAGCCTATTTTTATTTTCAAATACTGCTACTGTTAGATAGTGTGCCTAGTTAATACTAGGTATTTATGAATTATGCAAATCAACATGGTATATTGTTTTATTACAAGAAGTTTTGTTTTATTTGAATTTTTGATAGATATATTTTTATGAGATTTGTCAAGCACTGATAATGAAGTAGTTTTCTAATCATAATTTATTGCTCTTTAACATGGCGCAGCATATTTCATAGAGCAAGAATGGTGGAACATAATAAACATTCATCTTTATGCTTAACTGGAAACCTGAGTGAGAATTTCAGAGTATCCAGGACGAAGTCTGTATTTACCTTACTGCGACAGAAACCGATAAAAAATCAAAAGAAATATAAATAGCCAGACTAAAAAACCTAATGGGGCAAGATGCTTTAAAATTATTTAACTCAATAACTACGTTGACCAAAAAAATATAAAGGTTATATTCGATGTTTTGGAAAATTATTTTGTTCAAAGGACTAATGAAACTATGAATGTTTACAACATCTTTCAAAGAAAGCAAGATCCTGGTGAGCCATTTGAAATATTTTATGCAGATTTAAAACATCTTATCAAGCAGTGCAGCTTTGAAAACCAAGAAGAAAAATTGCTCAATGCTCAGATAATTCTGGATATAAATTGCAAAACTGGTCAGAAAAAATTATTAGGAGGAAAAAGAATATTAAATGATTAAATTTTGTAAACTAGCAGAAACTACTGAGGCTAATATGAAAGTTTTATCGGAAAAAGAATGTAAAATCAATCAAGTTAAAAACATCCAGCAAGGAAGAAGGAATAAAAAGTTTCAACTGTACTAGATGCAGAAGAACCCATGCATTCAATACATGTCTGACCTATTGTAAAATTTGCAGTAACCGTTTCTCCAAAATGTGCAAGTCGTGGGCACTACCTAAAATCCAAGAAATAGAGACGAATTTGGAAGACAATGAAGTTGAAGCAGGAGACTCGTCTGATTCAAGTTCTTTTTTTATGAGTGTTATTAATATTGATGCATTCGATAAAAATTTACTCATTAAAGGTATAGAAGTCGAGTTAAAGCTAGATACCAGTGCAGAAGTAAATATTTTACCCTATAAATTAATTTGTTAAGCAGGTTGGTTTGCAAAATGGTATATTAAAATAAAAATAGGATTAGAGGCATTCGGAGGTTTTAAAATTCAATCATTAGGCAAAAGTGATCTTAAAATAGAGACCACAACAAAACGGGACATTGTAACTTTTGTAATTGTCAAAAATAATGTTTGTCCGATTTTAGGTCTAGAAAGCTGTTTAAAGCTGGGTTTAATAAAACGGATTGATACCGTTAATAGTTCAAAATGGTGTAATAACAAAAATAAATTAACTTCTAAATATAAATGTGTTTTTGAAGATAAATTTAAAACTTCATTAGAGTTACTTGCGAAAAGGGTCATTGTGGTTCATGTACATGAACCAGTTGAGTGGGTTTCAAATGTAGTTATAGTTGAAAAACCAAATGAGTCTCTTAATATTTGTATTGATCTAGTCCATCTTAATAAATACATTATAAGAGAAAGATATACTATACCTACAGTAGAAGAACTAGCTCCATACCTAGCAAATAAAAAAATATTACAGCATTTTGGATATAAAAGACGGATTTTATCATATAAAACTAGATGAAGAATCAAGTAAACTGTGTACTTTCTCAACAGTTTTAGGAACTTATAGATTTTTAAGATCTCTGTTTGGTTTATCAAATTTGCCAGAACTTTTCCATAAACTAGTTTTTAAATATTTTGGAGATATACAAGGCGTCACAATTTATTTTGGTGATATATGTATCGCAACGGATACAAAAGAGCAAAATGACTTAATAATAGAAAAAGTGCTGTTAAGAGCAAAACAGTATAATATTAAATTTAATAAGGAAAAGTTTCAGTATTACTTAAAAGAGATTAAATACTTAGATATTATATCTAGTGAAACGGGAATGCATCCAGATCCTTCAAAAACTGAAGTAATTCAATCATTAAAAAGTCCTGAAAATAAAAAAGAGTTACAAAAAACAATTCATATCAAATCTATCCGAAATTATATCACCATTAAGAGGGTTACTAAAAAAAAAATGTTCGGAACTGGACTAAAGTACAAGAGTCCCCTACTGCCTATAACTATACAGTGCGATTCATCGAAAGATGCTGTTGGTGCGTGTCTATTACAAAATGATAAGCCAGGATACTTCGCATCAAGAAGTTTAAATTTATCAGAGTTGGAATATGCGCAGATCGAAAAAGAACTTTTAGCTGTCACGTTTTCATTTACAAAATTTCACTCCTATATATGGACATTCTGATGTTACAATTTTTACAGATAATAGATATGTCTTTAATATCTATTATATCAAAACCTTTATATAAGGTTCAGAATAATACCTTAAAAAGGCTTAGATTAAAACTTTAAATGTACCAGTCTTCTTTTAAATTATTTAGCGGGGTCCAAAATGTTTATAGGAGATTTCCTTTCTAGATGCGGACTAAAAACGAATGAAGAAATAGATAATAGCATAAAAGATGTAGTTCATTGTATTCACGAGACTAAATTAAAATTTTTCAGAAAAAAAGTTAGAAGAGTTTAAGCACCTTACAAGTGTTGATGAATCTCATTGCAAATAACGGAATATTGTAGAGTAAGGTGGCCTAAAAAACTAAATGAAAATGTATCAGTGGAAGTAAATCACTATTTTAATTGAGAAATAATATAGATATAAATAATGGACTACTGAACTTTGAAGCACGGTTAATAGTACCTACACAAATGAGAAAATATATATTAAACTTATTACATGAGCCCCTCTCTGGTGTTAAGAAAATATTGGTATTGTAAAGAACTTATTTTATTGGCCAGGTATTATAAATGATATTAAAAACTTATAGGTTATGTCAAAAATATATGAGATCTAAAACACGTTAACATCTACTAAATCACGAAATACCAAATATTCCATTTTACAAAGTAGCAGCAGATGTTATGAATTAGGTCGCAAAGACCTACTTTGTGTTAACAGATTATTATTCGAGGTGGATAGCCGAATTAAAGTCAAAAACTAGTAGTTCAATTATTTTAAAATGTAAACTAATATTTAGTAGATTGGGTAGTCCTCAGGGGGTGATATCGCGCATAGTGCTATGGCGGCGCTGACGTCATGCGTAGAGTTAGTAGAGTTGGCGCCAAGTAAATATCATATGACAGATGCACGTTGTAGTGATTTGTAAGTTATTAATAGTGATTTATAACATTTTAAGGTGGTATTAGTAATAAACATTAAAAAATGAGGTACGCAGTTCACGGATGTAACAGTAACAATCAACGCAAAGGAGTTGAAGAAGACGTTGTTTTTAACATTCCTCGACAGTAAGAGGTTAGTCGATTCCTCTTCTTTCAATAGAAGAGAACAAAGACTGAGGAAAGGCGTTCTTAAACGCGCCTTCTATATCTAGGAAGGCACCTATGCAATCTCCCCGTGATTTAGGGAATGGCCGATTTTGCCTACTAGATTGTGCAGGGCATGATCTGTCGATTTGCCTGCTTGGTAGGCATATTGAGAGGAGTTTAACGGGTTTGCCCGAAGACTTCCTTCTCTAATATGCCTATCTAGAATCCTCTTTAGTGTTTTTAGAAGAAAGGATGTTAGGCAGATTGGACGATAAGAGTTTGGTAGGGAGGTATCTACTCTACCAGCCTTGTGTATATACACGACTTTCGCCAACGTCCATCCTAGTGGGATATAGCTCCACGCCAGGCTTGCTCTAAACAACCTCACAAGGAGGGGTAGCAGGAGGTCCTGTCCTTTTTGTAAAAGGGTGGGAAAAATTCCATCCTCTTCGGGTGATTTGAAAGGGCAGAATGAATTCATCGCCCATTTCACGGTGTTTGGAGAGATAATTTGTGCAACAAAGTTCCAGTCCTCCTTTTTGGGTCGTATAATCGATTCCGTTAAAGGAAGGGGTACATGTTGCCTGTCCTCCAGGATTCGACTGCCTGGGAAGAGTTTCTGTAAAAGAATCTCTAAAGTTTCCTTACCAGAGTCCGTGTAGGTGTTGTCGGCTCTTTTTATCGAGCCGACTTCCTGTCTCGGATCTTTGGCGAGAATCTTGTGAAGTCTGGTACTTGAAGGTAAATCTGATATATTCTGACAGAACTTCCTCCACGATTCTCGTTTGGCCTTTCTAAAAGCCTTGTTGTACTCCGTTAGAGATTTGCGGTAGTTTTCCGAGCGGCCAAATTCTTTAGTTCGATTGAAGAGAACTATTCTTTAGATGCCGAATGTTCATCTAAATTAAAACCTGCATTATAATTTTTGTAACAAAAATAAATCATTAAAAAGAAAAAGGAAAAAACTGATACTTCAAATAAATATTTCTTTCATATATGTATTTGCGTTTATTTTTCTTTATAGTCCTTAGATATCCTTAGATATTTGATGTCATTTCTAAAATATTATCCTTTAATATTTATGAAATTTCTGTAAATAGCATTTAGTTTCCTCATACTTCGACAGTATTTTTTTAAATTCCCGCCTATATAAACTCTACGCATGACGTCATGCGCGTGGTCGTCCTATTTTTGACACAGTTGATATCCTACCTTCTATTTTTTATACCATGGGTAGTCCTAATAATTTTGTAGCTGATACTGTACCCTTTAACAGTTTTGAATTTCACCAGTTTGCTAAAAGTTGGAATTTTACAAAAACAACGTCCAGTCCACATTATCACCAATCAAATGGACTAGCTGAAAAGGCCGTTGGTATAGTGAAAAAATTTTAAAAAATCACGTGAAGCTGGTCAAGATATAGAATTATAC